ATTTATAACAATTGTGGGAAAAATATTGAAATTTTCATTCAATTCTATACTTGCTAGGAAAAAGTGCTATAGGTTTTGTAATAAGCAATAATAATATTTGATTATTGAAATTTCTATTCAAGTCGAATATATCATCATGTGCATATTCAAGCTCTAAGCTTGTATTGTATTTGAATAAATTACCAATGTTTTATATATCTGCTTATGATAATCATATTGTATTTTTAATGTCGTTGCGTTTCGATTCCTTAGGAGCTGAGAAGCGGCAAGTAGCATTGAATGAAAATTTCAAATATGTTTCGCAAGTTAATTTGTAAAGTATGCCTAAATTATGTCACAATATCACGTATTGTTCTAAATTGCTTCAAGAATTATTAAAATATGTATAAGAAATGTATTGGCGTTTGAAGTTTGTAAATGACTTAAGATATTTGAGATTATACTCAGTCAAAATCAGTGGCGTACATAGCAACAAAACTATTATTTATAATTAATGACCCACCGGTGGGTCATGCCGTCGTCAATGTGTTAATTATTAATTAATAATTGTATAATTTTGACGTTAATTAATATAAAAAAAAATATATTTAGATAAATTTGGAGAATAACAGGTACAAATTATCAAGTGTGTCATGTTTAATACATTTTCAGGTGGATGCGCCGGGTTACTCGTATATTTTCTATTGCTCACACAGATATATTGCACATAACTAATTTACAGAAATAGAAAAATTCTCACTAGTTAGAACATTAAATAATGAACAAATTGTTTGTACTCTCTAAATTCACATCTTCAGGTTCTTGACGATATTATGAATTGATTTCTTCAAAGCAAGCTATGATTTGTTTTTCTCCTTCGCCGCTTTTTCATAATCCCAGTCATCATATATTTAATCATTTGGATACAAATATTATTTGTGGTAGTGAAAAAAATAAGTTAGACGTGTTTCTGTAAACATCTATGAACTTTGTAAATGAACTTAAAACCAAACAACTAATTTCAGTTTTCATTCTTTTCAATTCACGTAACAGAGATGATTTTATGTCAGACATTTTTATGTTTTTAATCAAATAATTAATTAATTTTTATATATTAAGTCTAACTGCAAAAAGTAGTATTATTGGTTGGAAAAACAAGGTTTTTAAAAACTGACAATCCCTAGAGATTATTACCTTGTTGAGATGCACTGTTCTACATTACACTCGCACATTTAGATCTCAATAATAATCTCATTGTCTTTCTACATTTATTCAACCCGTTTTTTAAATCGATGCATTTCTGTATTATATAATTTAGTTACAGGGTTGAAGATAGTGTTAGTTGGAAGATCCAAGGAAGAAGAGCACTTACTTCATAATTATTCACTTAATAGGAGAATGTCACTCTTAGTTAATAATCTATGAGATCAACACTTGTATAGTTGACTTCTCAATAAAAATGAATTTGAAACAATTCTCTTATTATTTCTAATAATTTTGATTTACTTCTTCAAAATAAAATTAAAACTTTAAATATTAAGATAATATTATCAAAGTTATAAAAATATATAGTGATGTGATAGTGTTAACAATTATTGCGGTTAAGGGTTTATTCATAATGTAAACAATTTGCAGACATATGCATTTCCAACTCATGCCATAAGTTCTTCAAGTTTTTTAATGGAAGAGGAGAAAATTATAAATCAGCTGATTTCCTGACGTTCAAACATACTACCTATTTTGACATGCCAATTCAGATGTTGTCATTGCTAAGAGATATATTTCTGTTGTGTCAATGTATTTTTTTTGTCATTCAAAAAAATCATTATATAAACTAAATATACTAATAAAGTATTTATTAAATATTACTTAAAACTATCAATATGATACAAACGAAATGCAATTTACAACTAGATAAAACCTCCTATCTGTAAAGCCGATCTGGCTGCGTTGTTGATGTACTTGAATCTGTCGTTGCCCAGGTGAATTCCTCCGTGCCATCTGGTCACTATGACAACAACATTCGTCACAATCTTGCAGCAAAACACCGTTCGGTTGCGTAATTCTATACGCGGAGA